TTATTATTATTATTATTATTATTATTATTATTATTTTAAGCTGCATCAAATTTGTTTGATGCTTGCCTAATAAATATTTATCCAAAACTTTCAGAATTTGTATTAGCAAGGAACACAATATTGAAAATTGGGTGTAGTTTGGTGCTACATACAAATATGATAAACCATTTATAATGTCTATCCAAGAAAAAGTTTTAAACACTAATCACATGTTAATTTGGTACGTTGAACTAGATATTGACTAAACATTAAAGATGATAGATTAGTAAAGATGCCATAATGTTCAGTGGATCTTCTTCTCAAATTATTAACTTAACAAAACCATTGAACCTGGCTCTTAATTACAAATTGTCCATGGTTAGAGACCAAATATATTTATAACTTGATGAAATCTTAGCACTTTATTCTCAGATAAATGCTCAAGTTAAATCTTAAAAAAATAAGAGATAAATATACACAATTAACAATGAAAATTTTTATCTTTCAAAAGTAATAATTGAAAAATAAATCCAACTTTACCTCGTTTAGCTTGGTTATTGCTCTCCAACATCAGCCCAAAGTGAATATGAGGGAAGTGTGCCCACTATACCACAGAAAGTTTACAAGTCATTGCCCAAAAAGTTTGACTACAAACTGCAATGAAAGTCTCCACTATATATTTCCCACTTACATTTTTTGCAGCAGTACTGAATGCTTCCCTGTGGCTTATTTCTGGATTGTTGGCTTTGATTCTCTGAATCTCCTCTCTGAATATATGTATATTATTCACATTTAAGAATAATTTTATAATACTTCTGATACGTACTAAAAGCTAGTGTAGCACAAAAGTCAAAAGAAATGTTGAAGGGATAATTAATTAAGTGAAAACAATCCCATTACTTTATGAACTGGTTGTATGCAGATGGTACTCGTTGCCTCTTCTCAGGAGCTGTAAAACAATGAACAAAATATTAAAATAATTGCAACTAAACGTCTAGTACATGTATGGTTTATTTTAACTTACGTTTCTATTTTAAATATTAAAGATTTTTTTTTCTTTTTTTCGACCCCTTTTTTTGAAAAAAAAAAAAAAAAAATGTAATTTTAAAATAGTGTATTGATGGACAATGTTTGGTTAAAAAATAAGAAAAAATGTTAGATTCACGTGTAATACTATTTTATCGAAGAATGTGTGATTAAAATGTGGTCAAAACACTATTCAAAAATGCTTTTTTTTTTTCCCTCTAAAAAATGGGGCTCAAACAAAGGAAAGTTATCTAGTACTAATTTTCAGAAGAGCATGCTAAGAAACGAAATATAATCTAATGTAACATACGTCTGTTCACGATCCTCTCTTCAGTTTTATTCGTAATGGGAGGTCGCATTGGCATCTTCTTGTTGCATTTGGAAGAAGAACCAAGGTCGTTCTTGTGCTCAGAAGAAATGTAGTTGGAAGCCTGAAATTAAAATATTTCAGAAACCACATTTTATTAAAATTTGTTCAATGAGGAAATAAAATTTCAAATATGTAATTGAATATTTACATTTTACTGTGAAATTGGTTAGATAAGAACATCAATGAAAGCTAGGGTAGAGAGAGAAACAGGAGAGAGAGAGAGAGAGAGAAACGAGATTTGACTAAAGAGAGTGAAGTGAAATGACTTTTTTTTATTTTTTAGTTTAAGAAAAGGGATAAAATAACAAAATTGAAGTGGCTGAATCAGTTAAGAAAATGGCAGTTAGATCGACAGTTTACTAAGATCTAGTTGGGATCCAAAGTTGCCATTTTTGAAGCTTTGTTTCCACAGTA